GGATGATTCATAAAAACAACTTCAGTACATTAAAATTAAACCCTGTCATTTGTGCTCTATAATATACAGAAAATACACTATACTATTCAGGGGGTTGTGGACAAAAAAATTTTAAGCATATCAAAATCTTTACAAAACAAAATCACTGATTTCTGAATCTCCCAAAATTTAGGTGATCTAAATGGAAATTACTAGCAAAGATAACCAATCCAACAACCCTGCTGTTCAGACTAAGATTATTGCCTTCTGATCAAGGCACACCAGATTTAGAGTCTCTATAGACTGATACATCTTCACAATATAAAGGTATTACAAGCTTGGTCTAAACTTTGACATCAATAGGCACTTTTCTTGTAAATTTTTATGGCATATAAAATAAGTTATTTCATTCTGTAAATATAATATAATATAAGTTCACAATACATACCAAGCTTATATAACCATACTGTTTACAGTCTTTCTTTTTCTTTTCTCTGATTGGCTGTATTTGATAGTACAATACAATCCAATGAAATGGCAGCATTTTACAAGCTTCTGTGTTACAAGGAAAGTGGCTAATGATGTCACAGTTTTAGATTAAGTTTGTGATATCTTGACATTGTGAAGATGAGACTGATTTAGAACTGGACTGTCAAACAGACAATAAGATACTCTAAGCTATACATTATACAGAACTATTTAAAAACATAAACTAAGCTCAGTTTATCCATGAGGGGGCGAGATATCTGAGATTGCCCGAATCTCTTACCTAGTTATGAGATTTTGGCCGAAAAATTTGCTTTCAGGGCTGCGAGGGGGGCGGCTGCCCACTCTTTACCCCCTTTGGCTCCGCCACTGAATAAGCTAGATATTGTTCGATTAAAAGAGAACAAAGATACAAATCTTGTTCACAGAGTACACAAAGTTTTAAATTGCAAGGTCAAGGACAGGTAGATAGGTGCAAATTTATAATAACACTTAAAATGACTAACTATAAAAACAGACAATTATGAACCCATCTCAGGTTTGAAACCTGGCAAAATCAAAATACTACATCTTAGAATGGACACACACTAAAAATACTAAAACTTGGCAAACAAGAGTTATATTCATCAGTGTTCTAACCTGGTGTCATAGATACAGTATATTTGTGAGTATGATGCGCAGTATAAGTTTTACCCCTAAAGGGCTTGCCAAACTGGGGGTACATAAATATATAACATAATCTCTTTATAGGTCCACAGATAAATATAAACTCTTATTGGCCAAGTTTAAGAATTTAGATTTTATGTTGATTCTAAGAGGCAACATTCCTGTGTACATAGTACCCTATGTTACAAAGATTAAGAACTTGTAGCTATAAGACAACTATAGTGTATATACAGTAGTTAGGACGGGGGTATTACATAGCTTTATCATAATAATTAAACACCACAAGAGATGTAAAGAGGGAGGTATGTCCCAGAATCAAAATAACTAGAAGTTTTTTAAAATCAAGTCTCCTTTCAGGACACATATCACCAATTTCTGTTAATTATTCAAAATCATTCTTAGATTGTCCGTGGATAATTTTCAATAGATAGAGAAATCATTGTTTTATGAACTTACTGAGTTCTCTATTATAACTATTATGCAATATTCAAAAATACTTTTACTTTCCTTAAAGGAATTGTAAAGAGGTTTTCTAATTTTTGTAAGTGTATTGAGGACACTGATAGCATAACTTTGCACCAATCCAATTTTTTATCAGATGTCTATGGTTCCTGCAATTCCGACCAAAATTGGGTGTTTGTGAAGTCACTTACGCGAAGGTCCTTATGTTATAAAGCATATTCATTAGGGTCATCAAACACTTAGTTGCAGTGGAATTGTAAGAACAACAGATATTTCATGGAAAATTCGAATGGTCCAAATTGTTGCTATCAGTGCCCCCGACACACATAAAAATTTTAGAAAACCGCTTTACCTTTTTTTTCGAATTATCTTCATAAATATAAATCTTTTAAGAATACCAGACAGCAACAAAGCTGTTCAGTTATCTGCCTTATTAAAGCAATTTGCATGTAAAGTTTTGCCACGCTGCATGTTATCTATTAAGCTTAAAAGCTGAAAACCATAAGATTAGTAACGTTTTGTCAACTTGTTATAATTCATAAATAACCTACTCTATGATCTTTATATACATATGAATATAAGTAACGGTCCATATACAACTAATAATACATTAATATAGTATCTAACAGTAGATCAATGTTACTGATACATAGACTGATATCAACAAAACCTGGTTTTACCATCCTAGATATCAGCTAGCAGCTTCTGATCTATGAGGATGGACTACAGTTCAGTCCATAAGGGAATGTGTACCCAAATCTCTTTACAATCCCTTTAATATTAGCTGTATATGAAGCACTATAACAATATATTTTCTTTATATTATACATTTGTCATGATATGATTTATTATGGAAGGAAAAAACATATAACATTACACTTCAATGAAATTTCAAATCACTTAAAGAAATGTATCTTGACCCATTAGGGCTGTTCAAGATATCAGCCAGCCCAAGTTTCAGCATTCTTGTATATTAGTCCTAAACATATACTTCTGTTCAAGCCTCTGGTAGGTTTTAGAGGCTGGATGAGAGGTAGATGTTTCGGACTGAAAAAGGCTGGAATAGAGTCAGATGTTTCAGCCTAGCCGGTGATTTAGGATTAATAACTCCCATGTTCTATATCTCAATTCAATTCAACTAATTAACCCAGTGTTACAGATTAGTGTTGGATAGCTTTCAAAATCTACATTTCTGATCTAATGGTTGGTTGGTAGATGACAAGTTATTGTCTGCTACCAGCGAACTGATATCGCAAACTTAAATTTTTGGATCTCTTTGGAATCAATTTAGTATACAATATCATGTTTCAATAAATCTCATTGGTCAATAAACAAGGTCTCAACCAATGAAATCAAGTGAAATTTTGAAAATATTTTCAGATTTACATAAGCTTAAGATATAATCTAACACATTAAAATATAATCTTGCAAAAAAGCAGGATAGGCATTATATATAGCTATATAGTACTGATTATAGAAAGTCTAAAAAATAAAATGAGAAAAAAATAAAATGACTAGGAAAAATAAAATAAATTCAGATCATGTTTGGAATTCAAGATATCTGGAGAAAAAAAACTGTTCTTACAATAATTCATTTCATTTCATTACATTCGAGTTCCATTAAAGATTCCCTCACACCATCACGATCACCCGTTATGTATTATTGTGATTAATGAAAGTGGCCATGTGTTATGAGCGCATCTCACAAAGTTGAATGAGAGTTGCGTTCGAAACTCATGACAGCTAATCTTAATCACAGCAATACGCAACTGGTGATCACCATGGTGTGAATGTCCATTCAATTTTTCAAAATTTGATCCAGATTTTCAGAAGAACTATTCTAATTATAAACATTATTGTGAAAAAAAATTCAATATCACAAAAAATTTCCACATCACCAATAATTTTGATCTTTTTTTTTTTGTTTGTAATAAAGTTTGTAACTTTTCTCAGAGCAAAATTGATTTATGGCACAAGACTTGTGTTGGTTAAAATAACACTATAGAAAATAAAAGTTGTAATATATATTATATAGCATTTGATTTGAAAGGGATTGTAAATAGGTTATCTTACTTTTTTATGTATATCAGGGACACTGAGAGCATCAATTTGCACCAACCCAATTTTCTATTGCTCAATTATTTTGCAATAAGTGACATCATTAAACATTTACTTTTTGTGGAATTGCAGGAACCACAGAAGTCTGACTAAAAATTGGAATGATATAAATTGATGCTAGCAGTATCCTCCATACACATAAAAAATTAAGGAAACCTCTTCACAATCCCTTTAAACTTTCTGAATTTACAAACAGAATTTGACGTCATTTGATAATAAAAATGTTTTCTATTCTTGTTCACTTATTTCACCAGCCAAAATATTCAGCTGACATAAATTAATTATTTTTACTATGATTATTAGGGCTGGGTAAATAACCAAAATACAGTAATTGAACTTTATCATTTTGATTATCGATTATCAAATTTAATAATCGATTAAATGTCACTTTTTTTTTTTATCCCGTGAACCTGTTAACAAGACTTAATATCTTTTCACCACATAGTGTACCCACAATAAATATAATAACTGATCAAAACAATATTATAATTCTATGACACAAAAATTATCAAAGGAATCAAAAATTTTGACATGAAATATATTTTGTATTTTCTCAATTTGGTAATCGTTACCTAGCCCTAATTATTATGTGTATCAAATAAAATTTTCGGTTCATTTTTACATTCTCCTGAAGGCCCATTAAATATTTTTCATATAGAGCCAACAGTTTATTTACACAACCATAATTTGTAATGAACTAGTCAAGTCACAACCACAATAAGTTTTAACTTCAAAACGCATTGTCTTAATATAAAATATATATATAAAATTCTCGATCAGATCTATAATATTCTTCCTACAAATTAGGTTAAAGGTTAATGGCTAAAGGTTAAGCTATAGTCATCTTTATACACAATACATATTCATTATTATCAATTTCTCTACTGTAAAAAATACTACAAAAGAGAATTAAAAGGAACTGACTTATTCTTGTTATAACTTTAATAACTTGTTATCATGGCCACATAGCTTAAACCATTCCAACCTTTTATCGGTTGTATTCGTGTCCATAAATCTATAAAACATCAACTCTTTTAAACTCATAACTTTTATATTAATATAACTTTTGTAATTATTATAAATTCTGTTGCGTTAAGTATTTGTAATTATCATAAAATTACGTAAAAAGGTTTAATGAGTAAGAACTCATCTCAATGTTTCTGTTTTTCATTATCATAATAATTCTGTAAAATAATTAAGAAAATGAAATTTTACTCATGGAAGTTTAAGGGTAAAAAGGGACATAACTCCTACCTAAAACCAGACCAAATTCAAAAAACATTTCAATCTTAAACATCTTCTCGTAGCTGTGCATACTTCATTCCTCGCCCTTGCTTCTCATAGAATTGTCCTTCTTTATTCCTGGTTTCTGTGGCTTTCAGAAATTCTTGATCGTCCACGGCACTAAAGCTGACGCCTTCATGATCCTCTTTAAGCTCCACTGTCCAGAATGGTTTCATGGTGGGGAATTTCCACCATTTATAAACAATAAAAGCCAGTATAAAAGATAAGACTAAGATAACAGCTATCACTATACCAGCAATATAACCAGCTGGTAATGGGAGTAGATCTTTATCTAGATCACCTGAAAATAATCATTTAATGAACTTAACCCATTACCCTTCTCATAAGAAAGTCCCCTCAAATATCTTAGAATCAGTTTCCTTTTCTGGATATCAAATATAAGTTATCTGTCAGTCAATATTTACACTGTATGATCAGGATAATGCCTTACCTAGATATATTCCATCCTACAGGCACATTAAAGTTCCTTTACAGTTGGAAAGGAAAAAAGAGTGGAATAATGATACTGTTCTGCTAACTTTCCCTCATTGCACACTGTAAACTGCACGGCATTGCCTGCCTTCATGCACCCAATGAAGTACATAAAAACAAGATTTAAAATTTGGTCTTTCTTCAATGACAGTTTACCTATCTCACAACAGCTAAACTCTGTTAATTCTCCATACTTACTGATAATTGCACATTTTCATAAAAAAATGGCATCCTCTCTGTACCCATCTCTACATCTCTCATAATCAAACCTATTAATACTTTTCATACTTACTGATAGCTGTACAGTTTTTATAAATAATGGCATCCCCTCTGTACCCCTCTCTACATCTCTCATAATTAAACCTAGTTCATACTTACTGATAGCTGTACAGTCTTTATAAATAATGGCATCCCCTCTGTGCCCCTCTCTACATCTCTCACAATTAAACCTAGTTCATACTTACTGATAGCTGTACAGTCTTTATAAATAATGGCATCCCCTCTGTACCCCTCTCTACATCTCTCATAATTAAATCTAGTTCATACTTACTGATAGCTATACAGTTTTTATAAATAATGGCATCCCCTCTGACCCCGCTCTACATCTCTCACAATTAAACCTAGTTGATACTTACTGATAGCTGTACAGTTTTTATAATTAATGGCATCCCCTCTGTACCCATCTCTACATCTTTCACAGTTAAACCCAGTTGTATTTCTTGTACATGAAATACATGCCCCTACAAAATTATAAAGTTAAACATTGGTTAAATTAAATCCTTATCATTTACAGTTGCATTTCAATCAGATTTACAAAGTAACCCACAGAAAACATATGAAACAAGATCTCTAAAGTGTTACTAAAATCTTTACTGTTTGTTAGCATAACTATTTTCCTTTTAAATGTCATACAAAATTTGTGGGAGATTGCCACTCATTTGCAACCCTAAATGTAAATATCTTTAAAATTTGGAGCTACAAAAGTAAATGATTCAAAAAACATACAGACCTGTATATGGATCACAGACTGAGTCGGAATGGGAATCAGTGTTACCATGGCAACGACAAGGTACACAATATTTTCCCTTATAGCGATGATAACCGTTAGCACATTGATGACACAAATTTCCAGTGTATCCACTTCTACACTTGTCACACACCAAAAACCCTTCCTCTGTAACACAGATAATAATAATTTGATAAGCTAGAATAACACAGTGATTAGCACACAATCAAATCAATGTGTAATTAAAAAAATTCGCAAGACAAAATAGTTTTCATTTAAAAAAATTATTCTACTCAAATAACAATATTTCATGAATAATAATTAGTTGTGTTATTATCATATAAATAAATATAGAATCATATACTGGATGGACCTTTATTATAGTAGCACTGACACATTTCATTTTATTAAAATAACAACTGAAAGTCAAATACGGAAAAATTAGTTACAGGTACTTACTAAAGTGACAATAACTGACTACAGAAGAGTATTGTCGACATGGACAGGGGTGACAGGGGAAAAACATGGCTGTCTTGTAGAACCCTGGTTGACACACCTCACAGAATAAACCACTATATCCAGGTTTACAGATACATAATGATGTATTATCTTTACGACATGGTTGATGACCTCCTATAGTACCAACTCCACTACACTGACAATCTAGAATTACAATTACAATATATATTTAGTTTATAGGGATTTATGATACCCATCAAATCTTTAAAAAACCCTTTAAATTCTGAAGAAATTTATTAAACTTTATATAAAGGCTGAGATGACAAATATAGAGATCTGTTTCATAAACAAGCAGTCTTCCAAAACAATAACAATTGTATAACAATGGGGGAAGAATTGGTTTTAATAAACTTTATCTCCCGTACCTTTCTTATCTTGATCAGCTTTAGTTGTTACAGTAATAGAAGTGGAGTTTAGTTTATGCCGAGATGTAAACTCAGCTCCTACTAAAAGTTTATAGGTGGTTGATGGTTTTAATTCGGTTATATTGATTTCAGTTGGTTCATTTCCACCTAATCTTTTAGACTGGGCTAGTTCACCTGAAATAAAAACATAGTGAGCCTGACAAAACAAGACTAAACTGATTTGACAATTGAGGAATCAATTCCTTGTTTATTAGACAAAACTTAAAAGAATACTACCTCTTAGAATGGAATAAAGTAGTACTGTTAGTCTTAGAATGTCTTTGCGTTGATGAAAATATAAACAAGAGCACACATTATCTTTTCAAAATATTTTTACAGAGGACAATTTTAAGTCGAAATTTTTGACTTTTTTGAGTTCAAATTTCTAGGAGAAAAATATTTTTCTTTTCAATGTAAACTTACTTAAAGAATATATTTCTATGAATGCAAAGATATTCTAAGACTAGCAGTATTATTTTGAGTCTGATATTCTGATTCTCTTTAAAAAAATATGGAAAATTTTTTAAAAAACTTTTTACTTTCCTCAGACAATAGTTAAGTTTTTGAGAAAAAGACCCCAGATTTTTTTGTTGAACTCTACATACCTGTTTCGTTATTGTATATATAGATAGTGTATTGTTCAACACAGCCCTGACTGAATGGTGCTACAGCTTCACTGATATTAATAGTAATTTCTGTCATATTCTCATTGTTTTCATCATTCTCTTCAACTTTCATTGCGTGGGTTGCAACTTCACTGGGTTTCTTTACTATATGAGCATAATCACCGGGTCGTGTTCGGTTATATAGAAATACATATGGTCTACAGATATTTCTACTCATTATACTAGTGTTATCTCCCTTTTCAAACGGTGATTCTGAAGTCGTGCCAATGTCAACTGAAGTGACCCCTGTTGGTTTTGTGGTGACGTTATCCACTGTAGTAGTTTCGGTAGTGTTATCATCTATCAGTGACATTGTTGTATTGTCTTCATCCCAGAATGTATCATTGGAATTCACATCATGTATTTTGTAAACCTCTGGTGCATCCCAAACCAGATATATATTATTGGAACTGGTTAGAAAGGACTGTAATTTGGACGGAGGTTTCAGGATTAATCTCTGTTCTTTAAGAATATCTGAAATATAAACAGGAAATAATGAGTCTTAGTAAAATATAATCAAACACTCAGACGGACAGATGCGTCATTTCTGGGAGTTGATTTGAGTCTTGAATATATGTAAATAGTATCTGAGGTACTAGAAATGTATGATAATCACAAAATTTCTTCAGAAATATCTCAAACTAGGAATTTCTTGTCCTATTTGTATACATCTCTTTTCTAGATATGGCAGTGTCTAGAAAAAAAGATGACTCATCTTTTTTAACTTTCAAATGCGGATAATTCTGAACACACATGGATTTGAAGGCTGAAATTTTGACAGTGAGCTGTAAACACTATTACTAATAATGGCATAGCTAAAAAAAATTCCCATTTCTAAGGCTAAAGTATGATTGGTAAAAAAATATGGCAAAATTGTCCCTTTAATCATATAGAGAGGAGAAATATTACTAGTAAATCAATAAATCAGGTAGAGGAGGAAAGTAATAAAAATATTGAACTCAGTCACTTTTCATTAGTTCACTATTAAAGATATATAACAAAAAGCACAAGAAAATATATTTTGGTATAATCCACTTAACTTAACACTAAATAACTTATTGCCTTTCTTTTGCTGTATATTCTCAAGTATCTGTATATATCTCTGTATATTTTCTTCATGTCCTCTGATGACGACACGTGTAAATTGTGTTCAAACGTTATGTACTTTGTTATTAAAGAAGTGTGTTATACCATAATATATTTTCTTATGTTTTTTTGTTATATGCGATTTTCACTTTTAAATGTCGTACAAATCTAAAATCTAAGACAATAATCCATTCGCTCCCTATCATTAAATGCTAAACTTTCAAATTTCTCCACTCTCCCCGTAGTTAGTAACAAGTAGTTATCTCTTCCATTTAGTTTCCCTTCAGCACATTAAGCTGTAATAACCGATCAAAGCAATAATATACTTCTATGACACAAAAATAACTAAATAGGCATGCGTTTAATTTAGTATTTACAGGGTTCCTTAAATGAAATATTTCGATTATTGAACGATAGCTTACAGTTGATAATCCATCTCAATTCATCACTCAGGTAAAAGTCTCTGGGTTTTTTTTCAAAGTTGATCACATTATTAGAAAATCAGATAGATATTTTTAAGATAGGACTTAGTCTAATGTTCAATTGAAGTTTCATATTAGGCCAATTGATCTTGATATTATGACAATATCAATAAAAAAAATGAAATTATTTTGTCCTATTTTAATATTGTTGACAATACTATTTTATTCCAATTGCTCCTGTCTGTGTTTAGGCCTTCTCAAGTATCTCCATTGTTAGATTCAATTCATATGAATCATAATTTCTGTAGCTTTAATTAACAAGAGAGAAAATGTCACAGTGACATTGTATATACCATGACAACCATTATATCTATCTTATGTCAACATTATTTTTAATTACAAGTAAAAAATTTCTCACCGTTTACTGAAGGCAGGCTGCCCACAGCAGGTTTGGCTGTCTTGTATCTTATTTCTTTAGACGAATCAACGAATTCTGGGCTCAAATAAATGACCAAAACGATTAGAAGTTTGATCTTAGACATCTTCTGAGTTGGACAAGAGAAGCAGACGGTTGTATATACTATCAAATCTCAAGAAATAATAGAATTGATCAAAATCGATTATTATTCAACACCTGAGCGAGAAAAATGAAAGTGTAATTCATTCGGGACGTGGAGGATTTGAAACCACTTCCTGTTTCGTTGAGTCCGATTTATAAGTTGTGTGCCCCAGGGTAAATGTCATAATTTGACAATTTCGATTATATTTTTTCCTTTGATCTTTTAGGTTTTAG